AGTCTCTTACAGCGCAATACGGAAAAACATCTTATAGCACAGCAAATAATTAAAGAAGCACGATATATTAACTTTTTATGATTTAACGACAATAGCTTTAAGAAAAATTTTGTTCATACTATGTCTTGGGTGGTCTATCAATACTCTTCTTGGAATATCAAGACTTTGACGCAGAAAACTGCTTGCTTTTTTTTAGAATGTTTTTCTGATATTTATTCTCGTATTAATCAAAAAAAGTTTTATTTTCAATTTCACTGCAGGTTGCTCCAGTACATCCGTCAAGAAAAAGAAAGAAGGTGGAAAATTCCAATATTGGAACTAGTATGCCCATTCCGGCAATGAAAATGAAGGAAGCGTGGCTTTGTCATCTACCCTTAGGATATAGTTCTTCGTATAAGCCAAGTTTATCTGATTGTGATTCTTCTAATTGTTTTTTTGCTAACACTATCATCACTGAAGAAACAAGACAAGTATTGCCGTGCGGCCATGCATATCACGATAGATGTTTCAGCCAGGATGGTTCCAAGTGTTTACATTATTTAAGTTATCTTAAAGCTGGTATTGATAAGCATATGCAATCACTTTTAGAAAGCCTAAACAAACTTGATTCGAATATTAACGTCGAAAGCGATGACTCTGATTCGATTACTGAAGAAGATAATGACGACGATAAAGAATCTGCCGATGGTATTTCGGCTCCTTGGGATGATACGATATGGAAATTTCTTCTATTATAGTTTTCAATTTTGTTATTTTAAAGAATTTTATATTCGTATATGTATCAATTTTTTTTTTTTAATTTGTACAAAATATTTAAATAAAGATTGGTTGAAATAATTGAAATAATTAAAATAAATACATCACATTATAAGTAATTTTATATTATATAATAGTAATGGAACCACCTGAATTATTAATAATTAAAATTGATTGATCAAATTATTAACTAATAATGACTTAATAATATATGGCGAAGCTAATTAGTACAGGATGTATAAAAACGAAAAGTTGCGTCAATATTTTCTCAAAAATTGCCAAGATATTGGCAGACTAAACTTTTATTAAATCTGTTGATAATTTATTTAATTCATCATATTGATATTATTAGCGATGATTGAAATTATTATATTAATAACACATTATTAATTTTTTCATTATTAACTTATAATTATGTATAATATAAAAACACATGAATATGATCGACTAATCAAATTTTGTAAAATCAAAAAATCGATCTACACCGATCTACAGAAAATTGACCAATCAAACGAATTTCTGTCTATGATGTGAATATAACAAATGATGCTGTAAATAATGATGATATTAGTTTAGTGATATTTCAAACGATTCTATTTTTGCTTCAGAAGCAGATTCTATACAAACCGAGACAATACAATTATCATATACTGAGGGATGACCCCAAGAAGATATTTGGTCTGAATTTGATGTTATTAACCATAGAAAAAAGAAATATAAAAAGGCATGGTGTAGTATTGTGCTATGTTATGGGCTCAAGGAAAAGCTCATGATATGAAAGCTCACATCGCAATGAAATGTAAAGGTAAAATACCAAAAGATCTTTGAATTAAAGTTCTCCAAGACATTTAAAATGAGGATGCACCTGAAATATCCACCTTAAAAAAAAAATGAAAACCAGATTGTTTATTAAGCTTAGATGCATATTATGATACAATAGAAGCAATTAATAAAAATAAGAAAACAAGGGCTAATAGATCTTTAATCAAATGGATTGTGTGTTCTGGTATCTCCTTTGCTGTCTTTGATTTCCCTTATTTTGAAGATTTTATAAAGATATTAAATCCAGAGTATAATTCACCTAAATGAAGTACATTGGCAACATCAATTTTGGATGCAGAAGCAGCAAATATAACATTAAAGATAGAAAAAAAACTATTGAAATCTAAAAATCTTACATTATGTATTGACAGTTAGTGCAGTCCAATGAAATATAGTATATATGCCTTTGTAATAATGACAGATGAGAAGAAACAATATATTTATTCATTATGTGATTTTTCAATATCCTCATATATAGCAAATTTTAATGCTGAAAAAATAATAAAAGTAATAGAAAGTGTCGAGCCTAAAAAATTTGTTGCAGTAGTATCTAATGCAGAATCAGCAATGACAGCAGCAAAACGTTTGGTCGCAACAAAATTTCTGCATCTTTTACCTGTTAGATGCATTGTGCATCATATATAGTTAATCTTTAGTAGTATCTGTCGTTTACCTTATGTGCGAACTGTTCTTTCTAACTATCAAACAATTATAAAATTTTTTAAAAATTCTTATATTGCTGGTGCTACCCTTAGAAAAGAAATCATATCTACCTTTACTTTCGGCGAAAATTTAAAGTCAAGCACTAAAACCTGATAGTCAACAGTATGGAATTGTTGTGAATCAATTATACGCAATGAAGGAAACATTAAATCGGTATTATTACAATTAAAGTTTTAATATACATATGAGTATTGCCAAAAAAAATATATATACATTTAAATATAGGCTATATTTAAATGTATATATTTTCTTTTAAAGACATCTATATACATATAGAATTATATTTTAATTAAAATAACTTATTAATAGGTTTTAGAACAAGATTCTTAAATTTTTAATCGTGCGAATGCTGTAAAGGATTTAATTAATAGTCGTCAATTTTGGATTGATATAGAACAATTGCGAGATATTCTCTGCCCAGTAAAACAGGCTGTAAAAAATGTAGAGTTTCGAACCACCTCATTGGCTGATGTGTTTGTTGAACTAGTAAAAATTGTTATAGCAATCAAAGAAATATCCATTTTATATAATAGCCAGTTTTAGTAGGATTGTATCACTATTTATAATAAGCGATAGAAAGAATTTGATACAGATTTGTATCTTTTATCCTTTTTTTTACACCCAGCTTACTGAGGTACTTAAAATGTTATATTTTAGAATACATTTTTTTTATATTTTATTTATTTATTTATTTTCTTTTATTAAAGGTGATTTTTTTGAACCCAGAATATATAAAAACTATATTCTTAAAAAGGCTTTACAAATATAGAAAAATTTTGGTGGTGGTCAAATAAGTGCAGACCTTCTAAAAACTCAAATAAATTTGTATAGAAATCAGAAGCCTCCCTTTGATGATAAATTTATTACATCCGCTAATACAATTACTAATTGATGGATATCTATAGATATGGCAAGAAATAAAAATTATATTAGAAGTTTTGCTCTAAAAATACATTCTATTTTCTTCTATAATGCTGCCTGTGACCGTGTTTTTAGCATATTGAGATGGTATTTTGGAAAGAGGAGAACTAGGTGGATTTATCTTAAGTATATTCAAAATTCTTAATTAAATGCCCAATTTGCCCTAAATAGAGATCGTTTACGTAAAGCCAGATAATTTTAAGTTGATTAATAATAATTTTGTAAAGTAAAAATCACGTGAGGCATATAAATTACTACCTGGCTTTAGACAATCCCCTGGTATATACCGTAAAATCTATTTAAATTTAACTAGAAAATTCCAAACTACTAAATTTATTCATCCTTTAAATAACTAATTGCAAATATTATTTGTAGACTAAGTATTAGTCATCTAGAAATTATAGCCCAAATGCATTCCTTTTTAGTTGAGAACACCAAGTCAGAGCTTAACTATGTGAATCCAAATCTTCGCCAAGAGGATTTTTTGACAATTTTTAATAAAATCGCAAGTTCTATTGAAGATAATACTAATTTATTTAGTGAGAAAGATTTGTTTTCTATTCAGGAAGAATCTACAGAAGAATCTATTGAAAACACAGAAGAAGAACCAGAAGTTTTAGATGGAGAAAATTCTATGAATTTAGAAGTTAAAAAATTTATAAATTTATTATCCAAATTAGAGCTTAGTGAGTTATCAAGTGCAATTGAAGAAATTGTACATGGAGATAGAGATTTTGATATAAATAATTTGCTTTAATCGTACTGTAGTTTTGATTAAATAAATACAATTTATTTCTGAACTCTAAAATCGAGGGTTTTTTTAAAAATATATATTATCTGTAAAAATTTATAATATGGTTCTGGTTATCTTATAAATCAACTTTATTATTGAAACTTTCCTCTAGTAAGTATACGCAATTTTTATTTTTTTTTTGTTTTGTGTACTTATTTTATTTTATTAATTTGCTTTTTTATTATTTACATTTATCAGAATTCAAGCCTGACAAAAACCAATATTTATACTACTTCCTTGAGAACTGAAAGTAGTTTTATTACTGTAACCATGTAATATATAAAGAAATATGATTTAATTATAAAATAAGGTTTCTAATAAAACTCTTGGTGAGTATAGTCCAATAAAATAGGATGGTGTTGCATAATATGATTTATAAATCGTAAGTTTTACTTACATTAGATTGCGCTAAGAAATCAGGTACTTTTTTCTAATTGTTGCTCTTTTTTTTTTTAGAGAGAAACAATAACTAGTAGCATTTTTTTAGAGGGAAGCAAATAAGATAAACTAAGTTTTATGCACATTCTTAATAAAAGTACTGTCAAAGCTATTTCTTCTTAATATATGTCATCGTGAATGAGAATTATACTTCAAGAGCAAATACTAAAACTTACAAAAAGGGTCTGACACCTTCACAAATTAGCATATACCTTCAGAACTTATATGATATTAATCTGATTAAAAACATTACAGTAAATTAAATTCTTCAAATCTTAAAGTATTATGGTAAGTAATTGCTTGATTTTTTTATTTATTTATTGTTGCGGCTAAACTTGAAACGGCTGATGCTTGAAATTTTAAATACTTTAATATAAAATTTTCAAAAATTTTTGAATATATTTTTTAGCCTTTTTTTTATAGTTAGCTTAGAATTTTAGGGTTAGTTTTGATAATAAAAATATATAAGTGAATTTTGGTAAAGTTTATATTTTTAAATCAAGATTCCTAATTCCAAGCTTCAGCCATTTCAAGCTTTAGGCATGATATTTATTATTTTATTTTTATTTACTTATTATTTATATTTATTTACTTAATTATTTTTTTTTAAAAAAAACTATATTTGAACAATTATATTAATAATATAAGTTACTTTTTTTAAGATCTTATCATTTAGAATACAATTGTCAAAGATGCTAAATTTTGATTGATTTTAATTGAATCAAGAATTCACAGCTGTGCCAGATTTTATAAAATGGTAAAACAAGTTCCCCCAAACTGAAAATAGTATTTTTAGATTCTTCCTATGTTTATTAGAAATTGTATCTTCGATTATATTTTGACAACTTTGATGATATTATTCTTGTTTTAATTTTCCTAGCAAATGCTATACTAAAATATAAGAATTATTTATTATTATTATATGTCGAATAAATCTGGAATCCGCTTAAGTAGATTTTTAAATTAAAATTTTATCTAGTACTTAAAGATTTCTAATAGATAATTATTACATAATAGTAACGTTTTATATGCCAGAGCTTTAGTCACTATGCTCTTAAATTTTGGGTTGTTTTAAAGTTTGTAAATAATTAAAATAAAAATAAAAATTTATACAAGTCTTGGATAAGCATTAAAAACATAAATATGCAACCACTTTTTAACTACAGTATTATGAATTGCAAATGTTCGAGGTATCTGAATGCCGCCAAGAGAAAACCATAAATCTTATTAAATAAGATTTGCAGGTTTCTCTTAATGACACTCACTTAATAGAAATATATTTTACTATAGATGTGTTATTAAACGACTTTTTAAAAAAAGTATTTTGTCATCGCAGTATTTTTTATATGAAATCTATAAAATAACTATATAGTTTATAATATATTTTGATAAAGAATTCAAATAATCTTGGTATAAATTGCTATAATATTTTAAAATAAAATTTTAGCAAACAACTTGCACAATATTATATGATATAATTGTAATTTCGCATGGTGTTAAATATATATTAGGTTTGCTTTGCACAAGATATACCTTTTATTTTTATTTATAATTAAAAATTTGAATTGAGATTTTAGATTTGGGAACTTGAGATTTGGAACATGGGATGAGATTTAGAATTTGAGATTTGGGATAGAATTTGGGATTTGGAATATAGGATAGGATTTGGGATGGGATTTGGGATTTGGAATTTAGAATAGGATTTGGGATAGAATTTGGGATTTGGAATGGGGTTTAGGATTTGGCCAGAGTTTGAGATTATAGCAGCCCAAATAAGGTTTGTCTAGTTTGGGATTTGAGATTTTTCCACATAGAATTTAGGTTTGGGTGAGATTTTAAAGATTTGTAGTTTGAGTAGCATATATAGATTAGAATAGCAGTTAAAATGTTAAAATTAGCCTAGTGAATTGCGAGATATAAATATTTTAATCTTCATAACTATATGTTTTCTTTTTTATTTATATAAAGAAGAAAACATATAGTTGTGAAGACTAAAATGTTTATATTTTGCGATTCACTAAGCCAATCTTAACATTTTAACTGCTATTCTAATTACAAAACACCTCTCTACAACTTTACTTAGGCATTGAAAAGAGGTTTACTTAATATAGAAAAAACTTTTCTTTGAGAAACTTCAGATTCCTAAGATAATAGTAAATCTTCCCACTTTTTACTATGTTTTGTTACTAGTTTGTAGGCGGACCATGAATTAATTTAAAAAGAATTAATGATAAATGTAAGTATATTTTTTTTTAAATCTAACAAAGGTTCAAATTCTATTATTATAATTAGATAAGTTTAATATATATACTGTAAAAAATTTATAAAAAAAATTTGTATTTTTAAAAACCTTTAGGCAATATAAATAAAATAAACTGGTTTATATAATATTCAAAAAAATTTTAGATCCAACCGCCTAGAAGTTTTTTTATATATGTAAAATTTTATAAATAATAGCTAAATTGGATAGGCAACTATATTGAATAAGGCAGCTGTAGTGTTCTTACAAACACGAACCAAACCGAACTTAGCTTAAGTTCGAGTTCAGCTCAAATTTGAACCAAACTCAAACTTAAAACATCAAACTTTTAGAGCATGTTCGTGTTCAGTTTAGGTTCAGTTCAAAAGTTCATGAACATATTCAGGTTCAATTTAAATCTCCAACTAATGATGTTGCCCAAAACTACTTTTGAGCTAATGACCGAAACTGAAACTCTAATGCTCTGCCCAAAGCTAAGACCTGAAAACCCGAAACTTTGCCAAATTTCGAAAATTTTTTAATACTAAGTTTATATGTAAAGCATAAGACAAATCTGTCTTATGTGATTTAGTTTAAACAAACTATCCCAACAATCTTTTCTTTTCCTGACAACTTTTCCTTTTCAACAACCTTCCTTCTCCTGACAACTCTTTCTTCTTCTAACAACCTTTCCTTTCTTCAGCAATCTTTCTTTCTCCCAACAACCTTCAATTTTCTGACAAGCTTCCCTTTCCTGACAAACTTTCCTTTTCTGAAAACCTTTTCTTTTCCTGACTATCTTCTATTTCTAACAAACTTCCATTTTCTAACAACCGACAACCTTCCCTTCCCTAACAACACCTCTTTCTCTGAAACTTTCCTATCCCTGACATCACTAGTTCACAATACCACCACTCTTTTACAAACACTATTACCTTTCAAAAGCCTTTTCCTACACTATCCTCAACACTAATAATTTTGTGGCATATTTAAATATAGATAAAAAAAATCAAATAAATTATTTAAAAAAAAAGAATCGCTAAATAAAAAAAAGTAAAAAAAAAAAAAATAAATAAAAAAAATCAAAAATTTTGCTGGCCAATCAAGTTTTAAAATCATATGTATTCAAAATTTGCATACTACTGTAAATTTTGATTTATGTAATCTTAAAATTTAATTAACCGGCAAAATATATTATAACAAAATTCTTATTTTATTTATTTTTATATTATTTAAAATATTTATATTTAATATACTAATTTTAATTTATCTTTAACTAAATCTTAATTTTATTTTTAACTAAAAACCTATTTATAACCCTAAACTCAATCTAATTCTAACCCTGAAATTAGCATTCCACAATTGGTGTGGCTTGCTTCACTGACACTCAACTCATCGACATCTTAGTTCACTGACATTTAATTTACCAACAAGTTCATTTACTGACAGTTTATTTTACCAACAGCTCATTTCACAGACAAAGTAATTCTGGTCATCGTCGTTAGGGTCAGGCCAGAATTAGAGTTAAGGTTAGTATAAACTTGTCGGTAAAAGGAACTTGTCAGTAAATTAATTGTTGGTGAAATGAACTTGTCAATGAATTAAATGTTGGTGAACTAAGATGTCAGTAAAATGATACGGACCCTTCTACAATTGGGTACACAAATTGGAGCTGCAATGGATGTTTAACATTCTGCTATTAAGCAATTGGATAATGATAGAATGCGACTTGACAATAGAACATTAAAAATCTCCTGCAGTTCTAATTCGGGTACCTGTGTGAAACACTACTTAAAAACAAAATTGTGATGATTATCATACACTCTATCATGTCATTTACCAAGCCTAATACACCTTTTTCGAACTGAATTCTATTAGAATCAAAATCAATTGAAATAAACTGTCTAATTATCTAAAGTTATTATATATCTACATGGACCATCTAACTCCCACCTAATAGGAGGAACCGTCGATGTTACACAACTGATTCTTCACCTGATATGCAACATATAAAAAAATTATTTTACAATACCAGTCCATTCCGCTAGTACCTGTTATGATTTATTATAATAAAATGCTATAAGATTATAAACATAACATGTACTGGCGGAATATCTAGATCCTAAAGAAATATTTTATTTCCTTATCTATTGATCATTACATGTGAATATAGCCAAGAAGAAATCATATAGCTATAACGAGAATCAGTTAGTTAGTATTACATAGCGATGTGAGTATTGTTACTTACCCATAGGTCTTTATACTGCTATTGCAGCTGTGGACCTAA